TCATTTATCATTTAACCCTTTGGACTCGAAGATTTCTTCGTTATAAAGATGCAATTCGAAGTTATTCTTAGATTTTTATAAGCTCACTGATACTCTTTATGCTAAAATGAAAAAAAGAAAATCGTGAATTTGCGTGTGAAACGAACAAGTAGAATAATTTTATTTCGATGTTCTTAATATAATTATCATAATTCGTTATCTAAATTATAGCATGAAAACAAACGGTGACTGAGAGTCACCTCTCGAGTGCAAAGGGTTAATATTAAACCTACCTCAACTGATCAAAAGATCTGTAAATGAACAAATGAAGGGAGATGATGTTAAAAAGAAAATGAGTAATAGAAAATATTGCAAAACAGTAACAGTAAAATAGAATTAAAACGAAACAAATATTAATTTGTCTTCAATTATATGCCTCAGGTTGCACATTGAACGTCTTGTCTTCTAAATATCTCAAATTATCATTTTAGAAGTTGGAATATTCGTATTTTTAGCTTCGACGAATATACCGTACCGTAACCATAATTACTCTATCATGTTAGTACATAATGATGGAGTTGTAAAGACGAAATGGACAGTAATCTCATAGTAATGAGATTTGAAATGCTTTGAATCTCTCTACAGGGTGTCCCAGCAACGATAGTACAACCAGAATGAGGGTGGTGATTCTACGTGAAAAAGCAAATCGAAAATAAAGAATAAAATTTTTTCGTTCGAAACTTCGTTATCGAGAAAATCGACTTTGAATATTCGCCGAGTACGGGCGCGTCTACTATGCGTTGCGGACAAGAAGTCCGCTGCGCAAAACGTAGGACCGAATCCCCACCAACCCTCCCGACTAACGACGTCACAGAAGTAGACTAAACGCGCTTTGCTTATTGGCGGAAATGGTCCCCTCCTATTAGTCTCATCATATAGCAGCGTGTGACAAAAAAAGCGAACGAAACAACCGAGACAAAGTGAGACATAGGCGCAAGAAATAGATGCAAGGGCGTAGACTTATTCCCGAAGCATTAACTTCGGATTCTTTCGACGAATGTGTGAGTGTTGGTTTTATATGTGTGAATGCGAATGAGGTTAAATAAGTGAAACTCATTTGCGATGATATAAATATCATATGTGCGAGTGCAGTCTAGTATGAATGATGTTTGAAAAAACGTTTAGAAGAATGTTCCAGAATAAAACAGTTATGTGAGTATCGTCAAATAGGAAACATGGGTATGTAACAGTGAATAAGAGTGAGAGAGAGAGAGAATTTTCTAGAAAGTGTCAATCAAATATTTGTTTAAAATAGTTTATTGCGAGTTGTTTTCATTATTTAAATATTTTTATTTAAATATACTAATGCGTTAACCGTTAAAAAACGTAGAAGATATTGGTGTTCATTTCTATCATGTTCATTTCTGAATTTCATACACGTATGTTTTCGATATTTGAGCCGTTTATTTTGCAAGTGGCGTAAGTCCATTTTCAAAAACATCGAGTCAGCTACCTTGATAGTTACATTTTTACATGATCTTTTCATTCTGAAGCAACTTGTTACTAATATATTTAAAATCGTTAAGATTTTGTAACACGAAAATATGCTGATTAATGAAACGATGAAAAAGTTTATTTTGAAAATGACGTAAGTCCCATTGTGAGAGTTTCAAGTGGATATGGAAAATATTATGCGATAAAATTTTATCAGATCCCAGCTTTGTGTTTAATTATCAAAATAACAGTTGAATTATCAATGTGCAATGAATTTGTTTTAAACAACAGAACAGTGCCTGTCCACAGAAAGAAGCGCATTGTTCTCGCGTAGTCTGCGTTGAAAACCAGAGTGACGAACAGTGTTGTCTCACTTGCTGAGTATTTTTACTTCTTTCTACAGTTTTCTTAAATTCGGATTGCTTAATTTGTGCTTTGCTTGTAATATTATAAATTTCAACCGAAAAACTTTAATAATATCAAGTTGGCACCACTGTACAAAAAAACGAGACCACTCACAAACCTAAAATATAAGGATTTAATGGATTTATTACATTATATACCACTTGCACACCACAGTTATTTTAAATCCTTCCCGCGTACGCAAACTGGAGAAGACTGAATAATAATTAATAAAACGATATTAATTTAACAAAGAATAAAAGTTGAATATTATTTTGATTTTATAACATAAAAGTGTATACATTTATTTTTATTTCAAGAGAAATTTACTTTTCCTATGGACTTGTGCTTTCTTAAGAATTGAAAACGTCGTCTCATTGATTTTGAAAATGGCGTAAGTCTATTCATAGCCATCAGAAACATATTATTTCTTAAATAATGTTAATCATGCTAAGTGGAATGATAAATTTAACACCCATAGAAGCCCCAAAATATTATTCTGCTATGTTATCTGTTACCCATATTTTTAAATTTAATCAAACGTAAACTCTTCAATATCTCGAACACGAGTCTATCTAACGTCGAAGTTGAAAATTTTTCCGTTATTTATTAACGATACGTGAAGGTATCCAAGAAAAATCGTTTCAATTTAATGGAAAAATTGGAGGTTTACATATTAGGTGACTCGTCACGTATATTTCGCGCATGCCCAGATTCGATATCTAAATGTATAACCTTGCTGTATGGATAATAGTTTACCTTTTAACATTTACCGGATATCACACAGAAGGCTGAAGCGCGTAGTTAATGATATAATTGGAGGTTACATTTTCCACGCGTATTATATCGATCGGTAAACGATGCACGTAAATAAAGTAGTTAAAAATTTGCGAAGCCTTAATTATTGGAACAATGACGAATCGAAGGTTATGTTCGAGCGCACGATACTTAACGGCTGACGTAACGCTAACTCAAAGGTCAATGGTAGCTTGATCCACGGAATAACGATGTGAAATGTTGAATCAATTTCGAGTCGATAAACGATCGACAGCTGATTCGAAACGGTCGAGGTTATCGGGTAATTGTTTCGTAATTTGCAGCGCCACCACGTGCGCGGCTCAGTGAGCGCCGTGAAACTGGATCGATCAACATTTGCCTTCGAAAAATCGTAATTCGCCGGCTATAACCGATTACGTGACTTTTTATCGGCTTTCACCAGTTCTCCGTTACGTGACCGATTTTTCACGAGTCTATCTATTTTACTATCGTTCGTGCTTCGAGAAATGTCACGGCTGCGAAAATCTTGACCGTGCCTGCCGTCGTAGCACGAAACTCGTTCGTTACGTCACTAGAGCGACACCAGCGTGGTAATCATGATAAAGTAGATCCCTTCGATTACTTTACCCAACTTAACGGTTACGTGAAAGTATCCTTGCCTGTGTTTCGCAGTAAGAAGACAAAACTTCGCTGTGAAATTCAACGTGGTTTAAATTACGTTCTCGATAATTAAGTTTCCTTTGTTCTTTCGCACAATGCTATTTTTCGAAATTTAATGAGTAATTATTTGGAAAAGTGTAGTGTCACTGATTTCGATTTTTAATACGTTGTAGAAATCGACATTTCGAACAACTTTTTACCACGTATATAACCTCTGCTCAGCTTCAATTTCTGAGATTTTTGCAAAAGGCTATTGCTACTACTATAAGGAATATTACCTAATATTACGAATATTACGTGTCTGTGGCAGCGTTATTACGTGTATGTAAGCGTTGAGTCGCTGATTGTTTACGGTTTCTATGAATATATCGAGGCGACTAGGAATGGACGCGTGTAACGGGTGTACTTAAAAACTCGATTGAGTCGATTTGAATAAAAATACCTAACCTAAATCTTACTTAAACCTAACTATTCTCTCTGGTGACTGATTTAATGGATGAAGTTCGGGTTAAGTTCTTTTATTCCACGCATTCATTTTCCGTTTCAATTTTCTTGACACGTTATACGTTATTCGTCGTTGGTCACCGTGCCGTTGTTTGCGGAAACATGAGATAAGGGGCGATCGTGGACTCACGCATACAGAGTCACAGACGTGTTCGTATAGACAGAATTCAATATAGCAGTGGCGATCTTTTTTGAGGAAAAATCTCGGAAATTAAGACTGAGTGGCGGTTATATATATCTGAAGTATTCTTCAAAATATTGATTTTCACAACATATTTAAAAATCATTGAAATCGGTGAGACCACTTCCTTTTCTAAATAATTACCATTTAATATTTAAGGTTTATAATATGTATTTTGGGTTTGGGTAATTCTCGATATACTTTTAGTTGTTTTTCAAATATCTGATAATGCATCTTATCGTTAACTGATATCTGCAATATATGTATGTATTTATGATACATGCATGATTAACGATGCAAAAACAAGTACCTAATTCGCTTTGTTTCGTTAAACCAGTTTGTTATGATTAAGATAGTCTTTCAGGTTTGTCCTTCGTTTGTAATCTAGAAATAACAAAACTGGAGAATTTGAAACGAAATTTTTATTAAATATTGATGGCTGTTATAATTTATACTGTTACTAGTTCATTGTGATATTAATGATCCTAATTATTAATATTCAGGACTTTATAAAACGTAGTATATAGTATATAAATTCTTTGTTATTATTATACTTGCTGTTACAATAAACCATATATGTTCCTTATGTAGAAGTCACATCTACTCGAATCAGTAATTCCATTCGGAGTATTATATAGGGTGTCCCAACGACGATAGTACAACCGAGGAGGGGGTGATTCTACGTGAAAAAACAAATCGAAAATAGAGAATAAAATTTCTTTATTCGCAGCTTCGTTGTCGAGAAAATCGATTTTGAATATTCATCGAGTACGCGTGCACTTAGCTATGGCTTGCAATTAAATAGATAAACCATTACTGCATCAGCATCGGTTGTAGAACCAAGAAAGGCGTGATCTACGTGAAAAAACAAAACGAAAATAAAGAATAAAATTTCTTCATTCGAAGCTTCGTTGTCGAGAAAATCGACTTTGAATATTCACAGAGTACTCTAGTATACTGATGGTCCATCCATCTAACGATAAGCCGAACTTCTACTTCCGCGATGTCGTTAGAATGGGAGGGTTGGTGGGGATGCGGCCTTACGTTTAGCTCAGCGGACTTCTTGTCTGCTACGCATAGTAGATGCACCCGTCCTCGGTGAATATTCAAAGTCGATTTTCTCGATAACGAAGCTTCGAATGAAAAAATTTTATTCTTTATTTTCGATTTGTTTTTTCACGTAGAATCACCCCCTCCTCGGTTGTATCACCGATGCTTATATGTCGATGGTTTATCCATCTAAGCCACAGCTAGGTGCATCCGTACTCGGTGAATATGCAAAGTCGATTTTCTCGATAACGAAGCTTCGAATAAAGAAATTTTATTCTTTATTTTTCATTTGTTTTTTCGTGTCGAATCACTGTCTTCCCGGTTATGCTACCGTTGCTGGGACACCCTGTATATTTTCTTATTACAGTCCATTATGCATCTCGCGTTGCGGAATTAATTAACGGAAATTAATTAACTGCAAATGTCGGTTATAAGAATTCTTTTTCTGTTTTCGCAGGGATAAGGATAAAACAATAAAAATCAACGAAGGAAATCCTGTGCCGACTACTACCTTTTCTCTAGAATCGATGACCACTTCCACCGGAAGCTCGGATGACGATTCTCCGGCTACTCCAGAACCCTCCCCTCTTTCATCAACGTTCTCCATCGAGGACTGTGTTTACAGAGGCGAAGGGAATGCTAATATCGTTGTTGCTCTACCACGAGTGAGTCCATATACCATTTTCATACGTTATACTACATTTATTCGATTATAATTAACAACAACATATTCCCGTACCTCAGTTAGTTCTAATAAGAGAATATATCTAACCTGTACACGCAAGATTTAATGAAATTTATAATGTGACAGGTAGTTCTGAAAAATATTTTTTTTCTCTCGACCATCGTCCATATTGCTGTGGTAAAATTCAATAGAGAAGCAAACTCTACATTCCAGAGGTGTGGGGGCGATCCCTTCCCCCAATGTTCTGCCTTTTGTCACACAGTCTTTTGTCACCAGTCTTCTGAAGATGACTTTTGACCTGCGAGGCCCTGAACAGTTCTATTCTGACCATTGCCCGTTGAATAAGAATTTACACAGTTTACTATTTCTTGCGTAATAACCCCTTTAACACATATTGAAGGGGTGAAAACAGCCCTCGAAACGTATTTTTTGAAATATCTCGGTAACCAAAAGAACCAATGTAAAACTATTTCCTCTTTCATATATATATTTTTAAATGGCGAATGCAGCTATGCAGAAATTTGTAAGAAAAATTAATTTCTTCGAATAATATATTAAAAATTTGAATTTTTTTACTCGTTTGTCGTATTAAATCTTAATTCACATTCGTGCGAAGCAACTTACGTAATCTGTAGATGAAAATAGGGGATATGTGCTTCTGAAATTTTTTACTTTCATCTGCAGGTAATAATTATTGCATAAGTAATTTTCAACCGATCGTGCTTCACTTCGAATCATATTCCAGGAGTATAGTAAACTTTTTCAACGTTTTGATTAATTGTTTCTAATAGTCCCTGCTGGTGACTTTCGCCGGACGTATATATGCGTCCATAGCGTTGTAAGGGTTAAAAATAATACATCAATTGTGAATGAAACGTTGTTAGAAGCCGACACGTGCAATCAATTTCGTGACGCATGATGTTTTCCTCGTGGATCGTGGTTTTCGAGACCCTCTCGAGGAGTCAGAAGAAGAGAATTCGTTGCTAAAATGGCGTCGTTTGCAGATGGACTTCGGAAACTATTGACAGTTAGACGAGCCAATCGATCACGACTCGTTACAAAATGTCGGTTTATGGCCAAAGTAATTAATGGACGTGTAGAAGGCTGTTTTATAAATGTATCCGAAATATGACATTGCCCACCTCATTCCATCGCTTCGAAATAGCTTGCGCCATTCTAAACGCAATATTTCATCCAATACGTACCTCTGCTCTTCATCGCCCAATTATAGACAGGATTTTGCAATATTCGAATCGGATTAATTCTCTGGGACAACTGGTACATGTAGAAAACATGAACATAACGCGAGTAGATTTCCAACATATAGAAGTCGTACAATTAGAAATCTTACCAACGTTAAGTTGCGAAGATCTATGCTTATATAAATCGGAGATTTTGGTTTCCAAATTGCAACGCCATCGTATCGCATGGATTATCAAAAGATCGCAACGCCATCGTGTCGCATGGATTATCAAAAATACCAAGTCGTCGTAGAACGAAATAACAGCATTTTACCGAAAACGAAACTGCGTTCACGGCATTCGAATACTTAAAAATATTTTGTATACGTATTAACACGTTGACTGCCATGGCGGTGACCGGTGACCGGCACTCGACTTTGCTACAGCGCCGTGGGGGCGCCACCGGTGATCGGCGACACGACCATTAGTAAAAATACATAATTAGAGTAAATATCGATACTGATAAATTTTTAAACAGTACCATTGTTACTATAATGGTTCGAAGAAATTAATGCCATACAGAACATGCGAAAATAATTTTATTTATACAAAGAAAAGGTGAACCAAAACAGTCGGCACAATATGTCGCCACTTTTTTAGTGCAATTCTTTGCTCTCATTCTTCCTAGCTGATTTGAATTATTTTCATAGCACGCTTTGCAAAATTCGGGGGGCACCGGTGACCCCCGCCACGAAAAATACATTAAACGCGATTATACGACTCACCTTATCCGTTGTAAATAATATTTCAACATAATATGCATCGCATAATAAAATTATTCGTGTTGGCGCCATGGACTAACCACGTAAAATGCGCGTGGCAGTCAACGTGTTAATAGATAAAAGTAAAGTCGAACTGGATGCGAAGTTGGGAAACGCGCTGTTTGGTGCTGTTCCCATGCTTATATGATGTTTTGGCTCATCTCGATTCAAGCCTTCCGTTCATTTGCAAGCTGATATCCTCGCTAATTACTTCAAAGATGGTTCGGTATC